TTTTGTTTTATCATAGCAAACCTGCCTCTGGAATGCCATGGGAAGAAGAGCTGCTATTTGTAGCACGGAAAACAAGAAGGAAGGAAAGAAGGAAAGAAAGTACAAATAAGCCAGGAGGGAATTATGCTAATGTCCTCTCCACTTCGACAAAAAAGCCTCTTCCTGAATTGCCCTTTTTTCCCAGAAAGCAGCTGTCAAGACTACGTTAAACATACTTTACATGACGTTTGCCTTGAATGTGCTGTTGAACAGAAACTAAATGCCCCAACTAAATGCCCCAAGCATCCCGCAAAGTACTTATAAGAATACTACAGTGTAATGTTTTAATTGATACAAAACAATGTGTGGCATAGTGACCACCTTAGAACCCCTCCCAAGAGTTTGTTATGATACTTACCCTCAAAAATGGGCAGTGGCTCGGAATTGAGATCCCAGCACTTTATGGGGAACATTTCATTTCCTACTTTTCTGCTACAGAACCTCTAGGTGGCACTGTAGAAGAATGGAAAAGTGCAATTACACAAGTGGAAAAAGTACTTTCTTTTTCTTTCTTTAAATACTATCTCATTTTCCCTGCACTAAAAACACTCATGGGAAATCCTGTTTCAAAATAGAAGTGAAACTTGGTGGATCATGTTATTGCCTAAAAATCCTATAAACCACCATGGCTAGGGAATGATGCATGCACAATAAATGCTTGGTGTAGCAAGTGAGAAGGAGAGGTCGGTAGCCTGGCCATGCAGCATTGCATGGTGCAGGTGGGTACAATCTTTCCTGCACTGCAGGATTTGACTGAGCAGGTAGCAGCTGGGGAAGGGACAGAGCAGTGGTGAGGTGTTGGTTGGCAGAGCTGCCATGATTCCACTGCTGTTCCTGGCAGTGCCTGAACATGGAATAGGTGGGCAGGGCATCATCTTATTCTTGGCCTCGGGTGAAGAAATATCTCAGGCAAAGCCTGAAAGCATGAACGTGCATGTAGAAGTCTTTTGAAAGGGACAAAGAATTCAGGAATTGCCGTCTCTGAGTGTTTCTGTCTGCTACAGCCGTGCCTTAGTAAACCAGGGGAGCTGGAATCCACCGTGTTGTTCCTCCTCTCCCCAAAACATAGTAAGGTTGCAATGGGTAACTTGGGTGCTGCTAACACAGGGATGGCACATGGAAGTGCTAGGGAAGTAGGTGGTCCTCAGCCTACACTGGGTGGGCATGAAGAAGAACCACCATTGGCTTCAGCCCCACTCACTGTTGGTATGCAGTCCCTGACGGATCGGTCTCTAGATAAGGCAGCCCTCAGCTGAAAGTGGTTCTTTACCCTTGTTCTAAATAAGTGGTGACAGGGCAAGTGTGAGTGATTAAATGTTTTCTTCTGTAATCTTCTGCACCAAGTAGGTGGGTGAGAGCGGTGTGTATTATTCCTCTACCCTGGAAATGTGCCAATTTCTTCCCTGCATGCAAGACTTAGAAGTGGTGGGGAGACTCATAAGTCACTCATCCTGTAGCTGTTTCTTCCAAATATCTGGGCAAGCCCTGAGGGATACTTCTTGTGGAATCTCAATCTCTCTCTCTCATTCTCTCTCTCTCTCTCTCTCTCTCTCTCTCTCTCTCTCTCTCTCTCTCTCTGCCATTTTTTATCCATCTGGCCTCTGCATTTCTGCTCAGCTTTTCTAAAAACAATGCAAGGCAACGAGCAAAATTTCAAAATTTAAATCAATAAGCACAATATTATTGAAACAAATATTAAATTACAACTGCAATAACAAACACATCAGAGAAGCCAGAAATCCAGAAACAGCGGCAAGAGCAACACATCTGAAATATACCTGTGGGCAAAGAAGGAGTGCGGTGCAATCCTATATCTGTATCTGCTCAGAAGCAAACCCCACTGACTTCGGTGTGCCTTCCACCCATGCTTGGGGTTGCAGCTTAGCTACTTGCTGTGTATATTTGAGGTGTGTGGCTCCTGGGCCCAGGCCGTTACAGCAGCTCTAGATCTGGCTGCTGCCACCTTGTAACTTCTCTGGTCCTCCCCTACTCATGGCTGGCAGGGGCCTCACAGAGTTGTTGTGAGGGCGATGCAGGAAAGACTGTAGTAAAACACTCGACATGTTCAGTGTGCTAGGGACACTGAACTTGTCCCCTTTACTTGTCCCCTCAAAACCAATTCAATGAGTTCAGCAGAACTTGTTCCCAAGAAATGGTGAAAACCGAAAGGTTTAATAATTAAGATAGGAACCAACTTGCTCCTCATTTTTTATTAAGCAATCTGTACCAACTTGCACCAACTTACTAACTTGCACCATGGGCTGTTTTGTGGCTGGGAATCTTTTATTTTTTTAACCTTCTTATGCAGAGATGTAAATCTGCTTCCAATAAAGCAGCAGAATGCATTGTGTGTCGGGATTTTAGATTTTGCAAACTGCTGGATTCTAAATGATTAATTCTGGCAGCGAGGAAGACCCGAACCTGCTGTCTGGGGCTGGAAGACAAATCTGAAAGAGAAAATGGTATGAAACCTGGAAATAGGGCCAGTTCAGATGCGAAGGCTGACAGTGTTGGTCTGCCTCATCGTTCTGGCGGTGCCTTGTGACAGGCCGCCCTCACGCATGCTCACAATTCGACCGTAGCGCCAAGCGATGCCTTGCAAGTGTTAACCACACAACTAAGTCCAGACGGTGTTTTCACTTCACCTTCTATTTAATGCTTTTTCATACATTCAGGTGCCAGCCATGACTGTGTGTGGAGAAGTCAAGTGGTGTCTGCTTGGATGTGGATCAGCCCTCTGGTGAACCTGTGGGCAGGAGTTCCCTGTACAGAATTTTTGACAGCGTCTCTTCTCGTCTGAGCTGCTGCAGGTGCTTGCGCAGAGGGAACCTGCATCCTGTGAGTCACATCATGCACTTCAGTCACACCTTGAAGGGGATTTTTGGTAGGGCGGTAGAGAAAAAGGAGAGTTTAAAAAGATGGTGATGATGGACAGGGCATCCTTCAGCATTCAAACTGGCTTCTTTTTAATATGATACAGAGTCTGTAATGTACCCCATGTGCCCAAAGCACCCACTTTTCCTCAGCAGGCTTTTGCCTAGGAATGCTCATCCTACAATAAAAATCTTAAGGTTTTGGCTATGAGCTGGTGAGTACCTCTTTGAGAATGTGAGGGTAATGATGGGAAAAGTATACAGAGTGCTGGGCTTTTAGTTGTAGGCGTATGGTGAGATTTCTGGCCAGGAATTTTCCTGGATGTTGATTTGAACATCTGTGTGACTTACTCCCAGGTTAGTCCTGAAATCATTTGGCACTTACCTGGAATTAGACTAATTTACAGTGCAAACCTAGGCATTTCTACTGAGAAGTTAGTCCCAGTGAATTCAGTGTGGCCGATACCTTCTTCAACCCATTTTCACGTTGCTTCTTAATGGGAAGTGGGTGCCACTGAACTATACAGGAGTTACTTCCAAGTAGACAAGCAGATGTCTGGCCTTCAGCACAGCCTCCCCTCCCCTTGCTGAATCGGTGAACTTTGTTGTGGTATTGCGGCTAGTCCTAATACAAATATCACTTTACTGAAACCTCTCTTCAATCTGGTGCCCCCCCAGATGTTTTGGACAACTGCCATCAGCTCCAGCCAGCATGGCCTATAGTCAGGAATTCTGGGAGTTGTAGTCCAAAGCGCTCGAAATGTTCTAGCTGAGGGAAAAGCTGCCCTGCTATTATTTTTGAACTTCCACTCGAGTTTCCATCAAATAGCAACTTTCTGGCAGCCCTCTCAGCCTAGAACTGTCCGAGCAACCAAGCAATGCACACGCACTGGGGGGAAGCCGAAAGAAGGCCGAACATCGAGGACAGACAGACGGACAGACGGTCTGCGAGCGTTGCAATGACTCGAGCAGGACGGGAGGAACAAAAGCCAGCCGAGCAGCCGTCCGTCTTGCCGCGCCATGCAGAGACGCGCGTGTGCGTGCGAGGGCTGAGCTGAAGGAAGGAGTCCGCGTCTCGCCAGCTCTCCCCTTCCCGGGCTGCACCGCAGGGGCCGCCGCCGCTTCTGCCCCGGGAAGCGCCTCCGCCGGGCCGGGCCGCCCGCCACCATGGCCGCGCCGCACCGCTGGGGCGCGCGGGGTGCAGGGCTTGCCGGGCGGTGAGTGTCTCGGCCCGGGCGGCCCTCGCTCCGCCGTCAGGGAGATGCGGGCGGGAACGAGGACGCTCCGCAGAGGAAGCCCGCGGGGAGCAGCAACTTCCCGACGGCAGGAAAAGTGAGCGGGAGGGGGGCGGGGAGCCCCCGCTGAGCGGGCGGGGGGGCGCGGGGCAGAAAGCGGAGCCACACGCTCGGGGCGCCCCGCCGCTGCTCGTGGGCTCGGCGCTGGCCGCGCGTGCTCGGGGCGAAGCGAAGGATGTTCGAGGGGGCGCGCGAGGGAGCGAGCCCGCGCGCGTGAGAACTGCCCGCAGCCCCTCGGGAGAGGGGCGGAGAGGCAGGAGGAGGAGGAGGGACAGGGAAGGAGAGGGCGGCGGACTTGGACGGAGAGGGAGGAGGGGGCGGGGAGGAGGCTGCCTGATAGCGCCCTTGGTCTCTTCTACGTCAGGCTCGTCCGGGGACTCCCCTCCTCCAAAGGGATGGACGCTTCGTCCCCTCCTTCCCCTCTTCCTCTTCCTCGTGCTCGTGCTCGTGCTCCGGCTGCTGCTCCACTTCTCCCTTTGCCGCGCTGCGATGCCAACATGAAGGGCATCAGCGGAGACGGAGGCAGCCGCCCGCGGGAGGAGGGTCCCTGAAGAGCGGGTCGGGGCAGGAGGGGGCCCTCGCTTGCCTCGGGCTGGGGGCTGGCTGGCTGGCTCGTCGGCCGGCCGCGCTGATCTCCTTTTCCCTGCCCCCTACCCCCACCCCCTCACAGGCAGGCTCGCCGTCGAGAGAAGTCACCATTACTTCGCCCAGCAAGGAAGACCTGTTGGCGCTCGCTGCCCGGCTCTGGCAGAGGAGGCGGCGGCTGGTGGCCGCCGTCGGGATCGCCGTGGCCATGGGCCTCATCCTGCTCATCGCTGTGCCCATCCTGGTGCAGGCGCCGTCCAAGAGCCAGGCGCACTACGAGATGATGGGCACCTGCCGCATGATCTGCGACCCCTACAGCTCCAGCAGCGCCGCCGGCCCGGCCAGCCGGCCCGGAGGCACCACTGCCGCCCTGGAAGCCATGCAGGAGCTGAGCGCCAACCCGCCGCCGCCGCCGCCGCCCTTCATCCAGGGCCCCAAGGGCGATCCCGGGCGCCCGGGCAAGCCGGGACCACGAGGCCCTCCTGGGGAGCCGGGCCCTCCGGGTCCTCGAGGGCCACCGGGTGAGCGGGGCGACTCGGGCAAGCCGGGACTGCCGGGGCTGTCGGTGCCTGGGATCGGGCCCCCCGCCTTCGCCACGGCGGCCGGGGGAGTGGGCTCGGGGCTGGGCAGCAGCAGCCCCCCGCCCGGAGGGGAGGTGACGGGCGCGATGAGCGCCGCCTTCAGCGGGCCCAAGATCGCCTTCTACGTGGGCCTGAAAAGCCCCCACGAAGGGTACGAGGTGCTCAAATTCGACGACGTGGTGACCAACCTGGGCAACCACTACGACCCCACCACGGGCAAGTTCACCTGCCAGGTGCGCGGCATCTACTTCTTCACCTACCACATCCTCATGCGCGGCGGCGACGGCACCAGCATGTGGGCGGACCTCTGCAAGAACGGGCAGGTGGGTGCGGCGGGGCCTCGCGCGGGCGGAGGCCGCGGTTGGGGGCGCGGGGCGCGGCGGGGGCAGGGGCAGCGCGCCGGCGGGGAGCCCAGCGCGCCTCCGGGGGAAAGGCGCTTGCGGCGCGGGTGCCCGTGTGCGTGCGGAGAGGCGCGGGGCGGAGGCAGCGGGGACCTCGCAGCACCGGAGCGCCTCAGCCCCGGCATCGTGAGCGTGACTGGACGGGGAAACAGGCACCCACGAAACTTCCTCCCCAAGTTTTTGCCGCAAAGAGACTGACTCGAAAGAGCTGAAGCTCAGAGAATTCTGCCAAAGGGGTACCGAAAGTCTGGTCTGCACCCGCCTGTTCCTGGCTGGATGGCTGCAGCGCCATCCCAGAGCAAAGAACAGAAAGAAAGTTGGGTGGGGAGAGGGGAAAGAGAACTTGCCTCTTGCTCGCTCTCATTCTCAACTCCGGCGCAATGGTTTTCAGCCTGGCGTCAGCTATGAGTAATCAGAATCAAGCCATGCGCCTCCCTGGATGTGAGAGTGAGCCCTTGAGATCGCTCAGCCTGAAGAGATGCTCCTGAGCTTAGATCGGAAATTGGAGTTCTCAGATCCAAAATCTCTCAAGATCTGACCCTGATGGGGTTCCGAAATTGAAGGATTTAGCTGAAGAGGAGTTTAGACTGAGAGTTCCTGGAGAGAAGTGAGAGAGGCAGCTGCTCATTAGAGAACCGAGGTGTTGTGTGTGTGTGTGTGTGCGTGCGCGCACGCAGGGGCTTCAGCAGAAAACAGGAGAATCAGCTCAGGACCCCCACCTTGCTCCTGCCCTTCACCAGTTTCCTCTTTCAGGAATTGATGGCGTGGTCACGGTGGCTGGTGCATCCCTCAGGAGACCTTGACCAATCGCAACTGCTTTCCCCTTCCATTACGTCGTTCTATTTCAACCAGACCCCGTCCTTGGTCACCACTTTACCACCTCTCTTTGTCCCCTTATTAACTGATGAATGGGCTCATAGGATGGGGCACCATGCAGTGTCTCAGGATTCTCCGCTAGGCTCCAGTTCCTGAGTTCTTCTGTGCTCCACACTGTCATCTTTAGGGGAGAAGCTGTCTGTGCAGGTCCTTGCTAACAAGGGATGCTGCCATCAAGACATTTCCCCCTCAGGTGTTTTGATTTCAGGAAGATCACAGTGGCTTTGTTCCAAATGAACTCATGAATGCACTTACGGGAACTCTAAGGAACACTGAAGATGGGTTAAGGGGTTCAGAATCTTGTGATTCTGTGTCTTGTGATCCTTCCCAGTAAGACCTCGTAAGGGGAGACTTCAAGACACCTTGAATCAGATCCCTGAGACCAAGAAAATAACTTCTTTTCAAATGTCCAACAACAGCGACAATTATTATGGCAAAGAGACATTTGAAACCCTTTATATAGGCTGAAAGCACCCTGGAGGGAATTGGAGCAGAGAAATGGTAGATACTGGAAGGGTCAAGAACCGCCTTACCCCAGCATCCTCATCCCAAATTGCCTTCTCCCATAATGTCTTCTCTTGAGGAACAAGGGGTGTGGACATATGTGCTGAGGATCAGTCATAATATGTATGTAATAAGTTTGCTTAGCCTGATATCCTTCAGATATTAGGGATCACAACTCCCATCACCTTCTGCCAACATGGGAAATAGTCATGGTTAGTTGGAATTACAGTCTTTAATATGTGGAAGTTATGAGGCTAGAGAAGGCTGAGTTAAGTCCTCAGGAAGTCATCTTTATTTTGATGCTGGTGGAATGTGGGTCTATAGGGACTTCTTGTTCAAATGGAAGGAACGTCATACATGAATTTAATCTACATGGGGAATTTTGTGTCCCTGGGCTTCTTCCTCCGGTTCATGCTTTCATCTAGGCCCTACCCTTGACCTGCTGAGACCTCCTTCCGACGGTTTAAGATCTCCTGACTAAGTGCTCTGCTCACCAATTGCAGCATTTTACTTTTGTCAAAGAACCCATTCTGAGGGGCATCTTCACGGCCAGGAAAGGTCTTCTCAAAAGGAATTGGATGGGCTGAACATGAGACTTCACCTGAAAGTTTTTCTTCTTGTTAGGAACAGAAGCTGGATGGCCTCTGGCCAGGGGTTTGGTAATAGCCTTGTTGGGGAGTTAGACCTGATGATCTTTGAAGTTCCTTCCAGCTGTACGATCCTGAGGAGTTTCAAAGCCTATACATCATGAAGTAGATACCTCATGTAAAGTTATATTCATGAATTTATGGTATGACAGGCTGCCCTCTTTACTACCTGAGGGGCCCCTTCTCAGATGGGAACCTGGGTTTATTCTCTCCTCCAGTTGCACCTAAGGGAGCACTTCTCTTGCAGGCCTCACTCACAGCAGCAGGAAGAGACAGACTCTTGAATTGTTTAGCAGCCGCACTCACAACTGAAATGCTGATCCCAAGATGTCAGGACTGATCATGTGTCTGACACGGTGGTTCATTTCTAGATGATTTGGGCATCTGTTAAATGGCCAGCAAAGAGAAACACAATGGGCAGGCCTTTTGGCCGACAGTCTCACCCTAGATGCAATCCTTTATTTATTGAGCAGGTACACCCTGAAGACTGTCAACCGAGGGCCACAAAGCTTTGCACGGACACTCTAAGATGTCCCTCCTTAGATGGAGGGCTGGGCCCCAGAGGATTGAAGAAAAGGTGGCAGTATCCGCTAGGAAGGCAGGGAACACCATGCTTCTCTCATCCTTAGTTCAAGGTATGCTATGGCCTGGCAGAACTCACCAGCCTCCCTGGCACCCTCTAGATGCGTTGGACAGTGACTCCCATCATCCCCACTCAGCATGGCCAATGGGAGCTGCAGTCCAATGTGTCTGAGGGATGCCAAGTTTGGGGTGGATGCACTAAGACAAATAAAACAGATGCTTTTTGTCTAGGATTTTCAAATGAAAGTCTGAGGTCAGTGGTTTCACCCATGGACCAAAGCTAGTATATTTTTGTTTCCAGTAGCTGGGACTTCTTTCTGTTCTTATAGTCAAACTATGGAATTGGCTGCCACAAGATCTAATGATAGAGGCCAATGTGGATGGTTCTGAAGGGGATTAGACAAATTCAGAGAGGAGAAAACTATCAGTAGCTACTAATCAGGATGACTAAATGCTCCTTCCAGTTACAGTTTGCTGGAGGAATCAGGCAGCTACCCATCAGCATCTAGTAGGCCGATGAGGAAACGGAATATTGTATCCTCTGATCTGGCATGGTTCTTTTTATGTTCTTATAGCATTATGTACCTCATACTTCTCCATGGGCATCTCTGTCCAGCACACACTGCCCCTGAGGATCCTAATTCTGATGCCTCTGGGGCCTCCTCTGGGCCACTCCGGTGGCTTTTACTCTTAGTCTGTGGCCTCCTCCTTCTTGGTGAAGAAGTTTCCCTCCCATTCTTTTTCTGTTTTTCCTCCTTGTGATCACCTCCTTTTGGTGAGTAGGGTTCCATTTGCTGAATTGGAAGAGATTGCGGGGGGTGGTTTCATCTGATGAACCTCAGTATGATGGGAAGGGACTTGCATGCAAGATACTTGCATGATCCAGGACAAGAAAAACCACCAGCCTTGTTTTTTACAGTGCAGGGGACGGAAAATAGAAGGTGTACAGTCCCTCCTGCTCATCTGTATCCCAGGGCCTTCAAAACCTGTGATGACCACACTCCTCTTTTGATGGGCAGCTTTTTCCACAGCACCATGGAGAGCTTGCTAGAAGCAATTAAAAAAAATCATAAGAGTTGTGTGGGCTGCAGTGAATCCAATGAGCACAGCCCATTCTCAAAATTTTATGCTTCTCACTTGCTCCCAGGTGTGTGAGTGTGTTGATCATGGGAAGGCCATAGATTTGAATGGTCTCTGTGGAGAGCTAAGGTCCAGGGAAACACAGCCACCCCTGCCCTCTTGTGGACGTAACATGGGCTGTGGGCGTGTCCCTCTCTGCTCTGCTTATTTGCTTAGACACTTGCTTTCTGGGCTGGAAATGGAGCTCCTCTTTTGAAAAGTGTCCTCTTCTCACTGTTGAGCCCCCCACGTGAGCAAGTGTAGGGCCCATAAGGGAGTTGGGCGTAGGTGGCTCATTTTCTGGGAAGGAAAATAAGGTGGGGGAGAAATGCAAAGGACACAAAACTGAGGGAAATGGAACATGAATGAAGAAGAAGCATTAAAAGCAAGGAGGAGGGAGAAGGGTTAAAGGAGAGGGGAACAGAAAGGTGAGTGGTGACCAATGCACATAGCTGCTTTGCTTAGCATACTGATTACTCTGATAACATGTTTGAGCTCGTAACAACGCTGTGAAGAAGATCCACGTAACTGCTTCACCTCAGTACCACTGCCTTCAAGAGATCTATGGGCTCATTGCAAAAGGACTGTAAACAGTTCTGCTAAGAGTTCTAAGAAAAGAAGCCTAGCTAAGCACTTTTCCAGGAACTGCAGATCCGAAGGCAAAGCACACTCTGGACCCATCTGCTGGACAGAAGGCTAAGGGATGCTGGCTTTGTAGGAGTGTGTTTCATTTTATGATTACAATTCATTGTAAGCTTCATTCAGGATCATTTGACCAAGAGGCAGGTTATAAACCTTCAAAATTCTTCTTTCAAAATGACTGACTGACTGGGAATTTTGGGAGTGAGGCAGGGGGAAGGAGAAGGAATGTGGAAAAGACCAAGAAAAAGTGATGAGAAAAGGCTGAATGGCAGAGGAGGAAACCATGTAAGGTATCAAGAAAGGCCAAAGGAGATTGGCTGGGAGATAGCCACTGTGGTGGTGATGGAGGAGGAGGAGGAGCAGGTTGGGATGGGGGGGTGGGTGGGAAGCGTGGCGGCGGAACTAAGTGCCAGTGAGGTGAAGAAATATTCCTTCTTCCAAGGCTTGAACAAGCAGGTTGAATGGGCCGCTGTCTGTGAGGATTTGAGTGGGAAGAATATTTCCCGTGAAGGAGGTTGAAATAGGTGTCTTGTACTGTCATGGTCAATGTTCTCATCCTTCATACTGATGAAAGGGAAAGGGAAAGGAAAGGGAAGGAGGGGGTAGTGCAAAGAATAGTAAAGGCAAGGTGAGAGAATAAGGAAGTAGGAAAAATGGAACCATCCTTGTGAATTACAAGAGCAGATTAGTAAAGAAGACCTGCTCAGAAGACTAGATTCGGGAGTGGAAATGAAAGCAGGTTAAGATGTGGTTAAAAGCGGAAAAGGAGCCTGGGATTGGGCAAATGACTTCCATCCATGCAGAATCTCAAGCCTGGAGGCTGGCTCTGCTTCTCTGGGTCTCTGTCTGGCCCTCTGTTGGGGGGAAGGGTAAAAAGCTGGGGAAGCACCAAGCATGGTCTTCCTTTGACTTTGTCCAAGTGGAGGAAGGAATGTCCAGTTTCGCTTGAAACTCCACCAGGAGAAATTGGGGTGGTACTTAGAAGGAAAAGGGAAGGCTGATGGAGATATGGTAGGACTGTAGCACTCTGGGCATCAAGGGCAAGAGTTTGATTTTTATTCATTGTATGTATGCTGGCATCTATCTCCTCCCCCCACTGGACGCAAGAAGGTGGAAATCCTGGCTTGCCAATCATTAGACAAAGGCTGGCCATCTGCTGAATGTGAGCAGAGGGCCCTGTGCTTCCTGGGGAGTCTGTGTGGGGTGCGGGGCTGGGGGACGGAGAGAGTCGGAGCAGAGGAAGATGGTGTGCGGGCAGCGCACGGAGATGGCAAGGAACTGAACCCATCTCCCCTTTTGGCATGCTGTGCGTTGCAGGTGCGAGCCAGTGCCATTGCCCAGGATGCAGACCAGAACTACGACTATGCCAGCAACAGCGTAGTGCTGCACCTGGACTCGGGCGATGAAGTGTATGTGAAACTGGATGGAGGCAAGGCCCACGGGGGCAACAACAATAAGTACAGCACTTTCTCCGGCTTTCTCTTGTACCCTGATTGACAGAGCCAGGCGTGCACGGTGGGGCCTGCCCGTCGCCTCGTCCCTGCCACACGTGTCCCTGGGCACCCGCTCTTCAGGTCACCTTAAGTTTCATTTGGGGGAAAAACGGCTGTATGTTAACTTTGATTGCTGTTCGAAAGAGAGACAAGCAGCTTCTTCCTTCCAGCATATATCTTCTTCTTCTGTGTCCTGTTATTTGTTGCACACTATGAGACAAGTAGGTCTAAGAGTGTTTACCAGTTCATTGGCACTGTGAATTGATCCATTCATTTTGTGCACATTTAAAATCGTGGAGTTCAATCCACATGGCCTCTGGCGGAAAAGGCCATCTGGCACTGATGGAATGGTGGTTGTACAATTATCCACATAAAGCCCCTTGATCCAGGGTATGGACCGAAGGAGGTGCTTTTCCCCCCTTACAGAAACAGTATCTGCTTTGCCTGTGTCGCCTAGTCATGAGAATGTGTAACCCCCTTGAGTAGTCTCACTGGAAAGAACAGCGCCGAGATGCCAGTCTGTTAGATCAAAACATTGCGCCTCATGCAAACTCAGGCTATTGAGCCACCTGTACAATCAAGACAACTCAAACTCTGCTCTCCGTGATCACAGGTAGTCTTGCTGAAATCCCATTCTGGTGGGAATGTTTTCGTGATTAGATCTTCAGCGCGCTATGAGCAAATCAGGGGTCCTCATTTGTTTTCATGGGGTACATGCTTTCCTTTGCTTAAGCAAGCAGTTGAAAACAAGATGGGTAGGATCCAGGTTAGTTTGCAGTCAGAACCTTTGAAATCTATAGAACTTCCATTAGCCATGATTAACTGAATTCCCACTGATTTGGATTTGCCTGCTTCGAAGATGACTAAATCTACATCGTACGCAATGTCTATCAGCATCCCCAACTACCTTCTTTGCAGCGCAAGGCTATGCATGTCTACTCAGAAGTAAGTTCAATGGAAGTGAATGGGGCTTACTCTGGGGTAAATGTGTATAGGATTGCAGCCTTAATCAATGGGCACAACAGTCATCTATTTCAGACAAACATGGTCCATTATGAGCATATGAAAGATTCCATAGCAAAAACCATGACACACAAAATGAAATGGATGAATCCTGGCACTTTATTTCTCTTTATATATGTACGATCATTGCTTTTACTAACAGTCTGGAGAATAAGACGGAGTTGTTGTGACACCGCATTGGCTGTTCCAATGCTGCTTTGTATGTTGGGGATTTGTGTATAGCCATTTTGAATTATGTTCTATAAATATTATATATAATAAATCTTACGTCTTTATTTCTCCCATCCACCCTTGTGCAATGGAATACATGTGTGGGTGGTGATGTTAAAAAGTTCAGTCGCCTGTCTTTAAAGCAAATGAATGAGCAAAAGGAAAAAGAAATACCATATTAAATTATCTTTTTTGACAATAGTTTTCTTCTGTGTCTCTCTTCTGATGTTGCGTAGGGGAAGGGAGAATGGCTGGAAGACGGGCAGAGGGGCTAAGGCGGGGCAGAGAGCCTCTTTCAGCCAGGGGCAGAATTCCATTTCGGAGCCATTCTCAGGAGCCCCGGTCTACTGGTGGGCAGGGCCAAAATACTTCTAGCTGCCAGTAAATCACCCTTTTGGTGTGGGGGAAAACAAGGTTCAGAGGCCCTTGTTTTACATGAGCAGCCTGTACTGAAAGCAGGAAGAAATAGAAGAAAGGGCTGTGGCCACCCAGGGAACGCCAGGGGGCCTGATTTGGGCCCTGGACATGAGGTTCTGCGCCCCTGCTTTGCAGTATTATGCTTGCATCATGGTTCCCAGTCCGTGTGCTCCGTGTGTTGCTCTGGGCAGCCCCTTCTTTTTCTTTGCTGGCTGCACTGGGCACTGCTTGGGCCACACGGGCCCAGTGGGTGGCAGGATCAGTTCATGGAAGATGAGGAGGAGGATGGGTGGACCCTGTCCTCTGAGTTCATGAGTGGCTGCTCTAGCTCAGGATGGGCAACTTGCATGCTTTCGAGATCTGTCTGGACTGCAGCTCCCATGAGCTCTTGCTTCCTGATGAAGGGTGAGGTGAATTTCCATTCAGCAACAAATGGAGGCTGGTCAGCTGTGTTTATCCTACCGTTTTCTCTCTTTCAAAGAAGCCAAGGTGGCGTGCACAATCCATATCCTCCTCATTTTATCCTCAAAACAATCTTGCGAGGTAGGTTAGCCTTAGCGCAAATGACTAGCTCAGATGGATCCAGTGAGCTTCATGGCTGAGTGGGAACTACAGCTCAGGGCTCCAAGTTCCAGCCCAGAAATCTAACTGCTCTACCTCCCTGGTTGTCTGGCTAAACAGTTCTTGCTGCAGCTTGGACAAAAGGACCAAGTGGTAGAATGCAATATTTGGAATTCATGAGTGCAAGTCTAGGGTTTGTTTTCTTTTCTCTTGAAGAAAAGGCAAATGACTGTCCCATCTAAAGAGATTTGATATCTGATTTCTATCTCTCCATTTTTCTAGTTTGCAGTATAGCAATGCAATATGGGGAACTGGAATGGCAATTGATGCCCTCTTCCCCATTACAAAGGGAAAATCACACCTTTCCCATGCAATCTGAGTGCACTAAACAGGGCTTACAGTTCGTGCTGCTCATCCTTAGAAATCATCTCTTGGCGTGACCTGCTATGTTAGCACAAACACTGAGAAATTACACATGTTATAGTTTCCTACAAAGAAAAGAAAAGAGAAAAGAAAAGAGCACAAAGGACACAATCCACCACAGTATTCTGTCAACATTAATGGCATTAATTTTTAGCAGTTGTATTTTTCACTTGTGTACATGCATACAGAGAGGCACAGATAAGGGACATGTTTCACAAAGAATTTAAGGTTCACCATGGGCATAATTGCTTGCTTGCTTGCTTGCTTCCTTCCTAAGTTAGGTTTAAGGTAGTGGTTGCACCTTCTTCTCTGGGAAGGTAGCACTCATGTCTGCGCACACCGGCCTCCTGCTGCCTGGCAGCCCAGCACATCTGGAAGACATCCAGTTAGCGAAGGCTGGTGTGCACTTCACAGGAAGGTGGTGGTGGGGAATAAAAGAGAGAGACGCTGGCATTGTTTGACTGGTTTCACTGAACGAGAAGAAAAGCCACGCTATCACCAGTAGCAAGGCTAGGGCACCATACATCGTTCCCCACTCTTCACAAAACCCTGTGAAGGGGACTAGTGAGGGTGACTAAACCAAAGCCACCCAATGGGCTTCATGACTGAGTGGGATTTGATCCTGGCTCTTCTCAGTCCCAGTCTCTACTTATACCAAATCCAGGCCCTCAAACACCCCTGCCAGGGCCCTTCGCCTCCTGTCCCTCCTCCACTAGACTTCTTCCCCAGGTCTCTCCAGCCAGTCTTCTGTGCAACACAACGAACAATGTGCAAGGAGTGTGCAGTTGTTCTTTGTTTGGAGTGTATGTCCGGGGAGGTCCAGGAGTTTTTCTCAAGGTGGTATCAAGGAGTTGGGGGGCATTACGTCTCTTTCAGACCCTGCTATCTCGTTGTTCAAACTCCAATATCTTTTCTTCTTGGCTTAATTGCACTTGTGAGTGTTCCAATGCGACACTGATGCCCAAATGCTGAGATCATGCCTGTGGCCTTCCTGGGCCAAGCAGCCCCCCCAACCTCTTACCATACCATGATGTTGAGTTTTTAAAAAAGTTTCTTTTTGTTGGCAGTTTGTTATTCATCCAGTTTTTGTTCTCTGCTTGACGGGATACACAAGTTTTGTGCTGTGTTAGACACAGACCTAGTGAATGGCTTTTCTGATCATTTCAGAGGGAATTTGCCGGCATGCCTTTGGAAAACCTGTGTTCTAATGCAATTATGTCTGCAGGAATGTCCTCCATTATCATCTGAAGACAAGGATTTAGGTGTGCTGTGAGACCCTCAGTCAGAAACACTCCTCTTCCCCTTAGTCAGCATTTAATGCTTCCAAGAGGAGTTTCACATAAGTTGAAATATGAAATACTGCACACTAGTTGGGCCTTGAAAATGTACTATTTTTTTCTAATAGTGTGAACTTTGTTTAGAACTTTGTGAACTTTATATACATATGGTATATAACATGAGAGGTGGGGGTTTACTGCCCATGCCTGGAAGCAAGATTTTTAAAAAATGCAACAACCATCATTATGGCAATCTGTTAGCCTTCTTTTGAGGACTATTTCTCCTTTGATTTAAAAACGTTTAACACTGCAGAAGTGCACGACTGACTGTTTTTTGTTTTTGTTTTGAAAACAATGGATGGATACTACTTCTCAGACTGAGCTTAGCCCCCACATGTTTTACCTCAGGGCAGAATAACAAACTTCTGGGATTTAACTGAAGTGAGTGTGAAAAGAAAAATCAAATTAAAACAAATAAAAGGAGCATGGAAAGACTTTTCTGCAACCATTTTTTGTTATTTGAAATTGTCTAAGAAAGAAAGAAAGAAAGAAAGAAAGATTGATTGGTTCTGGCAAGGGGTGGGGGATGTAATAAAAGATGGGGTGTGTGCTAAGGGGCAGAGCCACCAGCAAGAGCGTATCACAGGTGTGGCACTGTGTGGCATCCGCCAGATTGGTGGCTGATGCTGCAGAGTCCAGATCTCAGACTTTCTGACCACTGGCCATGTGAGCTGGGCCTGACGGAAGCTGAAGTGCCCAATACCTCACCCAGTGGGAGACGACTGCTCGAGGGTGAGGATGCATCACTTCCGCTGTAGCAACTCACTGTCCTGCTGTGGTGATGCATACTTCTTATGCGGCTCTGCTTGCTAAGCTCATAGCGTGGCGATGGAAGGAGATGACTCAGACATGGGAAAGTGGGGGGCAAGCCTGACAGTAGCCCTGCGGTGGGCATCCGAAGGCCCTTGTGTCAGCTCACAGAGCTTTCGTCACTCCAATTATACCCCCCTCTCTCTTATCAAATGGGGCGTTTCAGGCTGGCTGAAATAGAGCTGGGTGGCTTCCCCCAATTTCTGTGTCTAGGAAACCCCACCTTTCTGACTATGCACCAAATGTGGCTTCATGAAGGCAGCTTGATAGCATTGGACCCTCTACTCCAAGGTGAAAAGCTCAGCTGGACACCTTCTTTTTGCTATTTGCTGCCCAGCATTTCAGAACACTGATGCACAATTATTTGCCTGCTGTCACTTTTTGTCCTGGCAAACACTTACTTGCACACTACTGCCATTTGCAACCCGATCCCTGAATGTGGAAAATGAAAGCTTCCGTATCAGCAGAACTGGAGCTGGAGTGGCCAACCTGGAGAAGAAAAGGTTAAGGGGAGAGATGGGAGTAGTTTCCAATATCTGAAACATTACCAGGAAGAAGATAGAGCAGATTTGTTCCCGGCTGCACCAGAGGACAAGATTAGAACCAATGGCTGGTAGCTTCAAGGAAATGATTTTTAGCCAAAAGCGAAAACTCCTAACAGCCTGGGCTGTTCAGAATTGGCAGTACTTGCAGGTATTTAAGCAAAAGCTGGATGGGCATCTGCCAGAGATGCGGTTAGGTGCCTTCTGCACTGCAGAGCCTGCACTGACTAGGGGGTTGGACTAGATGATCTCAGGGTGACTCTGTCATAACCTTCCATGCTCACAAACACAATGACTTAGCAAAGTTCCCATCCTGGGACTTTTATTGAAGGATGGTATTAAAAAGCCTTAAATGAATGAATGAATAAATAACTCATATGAATTGTCAGCCTCCACACGGGAAATGTTACACAGGGATTAATTACCCAAATGCACCCACAAACAGAGTCAGTGCATATGTAATGGCTTAAATAAACAAAACTATACACACATTATCTTGCCACTGTTTGCCCCTTTTTGGACCACCCATGTATATTCCGTCATGCGGCTGGAGAAATCCCTCTGTCTCTGGAGGATGAAGGCTTGTGGTGTGAACACCCATCCTACTCTTGCCCCTATTACACAGGTAGAAACTATTTCATGGTTTCTAAAACATGCAAAACTTGTTAAAAGAATGAGATAAAATAAGTGTGTGTACACCATAACAAAGAGGATTTCTCTGAAGCCATATTCCATTCTTTTAAAATGTCATCTGTCCCAGACACAGTGAAGGGAAATGCAGTTCATCGACTTGGTATTAAACAGACTGACAAGAATACACATTTTAATTTCCCTCTCAATAAGTGTGAGTAGAGAAAAGACCAACTTAGTTGGGAGTGGTGCTTCAGATGGCAAATATGAGGCACGGACAGGGTTCGCTTTATTCAGGGTTTTGTGTTACTGTGCAAGATTCCTCTCATTTTCATAAACAGAGAACTGATGCAAGGAAGATGTCCAGGAATGTCCAGTGAGTTTTTCACTTCCAGACACAGACTTGAGGCCAAGCCTCCTGGGTCAGAAACCCTCACATTCTCTCTCTTCTTGGTTGTCAAAGACCCATGGAAAG